AAGGACGAGATCTTGTGGAGAGGGAGTGGATAGATGACTTGAATTGAAGGAGATTGAATGCGTAGGACGGACGATGATTATAGATTATTTGGTAAAGGAATGTACCTAGGAAATACTGTCTTCTGAAGGAGGGAAAGAGCCACCCTAACTCGGCGTAGTAATGGGAAACATGAGAACGTCTCGGGGTTCCATTGACAAATCGTACTAAGCCATTCATTATTATTTTCAGTCTGTCTCCAAGTTCCGATGAGAGGCCACCGTCCACTACGCAGCCGTAGTCAATGAGGGGGAAGATGAGGGAGGATACTAGGAGTCTAGATGTGGATATGGGTAGGAGATGGCGGAAGCGATGGAAGAGTTTCAGGATGGAAATTAAACGTCGGGATATGAGGGAAATATGGAAATATGAAATATGAAATATAAGATTCCAGGAGAGGATTTGATCTATGATAACACCTAAGTTTTTAACTGAAGTATTGAAGGTGATGGATGGGTTGGTCATTTAGGTACAAAAGAGGAATGTTGATATTGGAATAGTTTATATTATCGACTGTATTAGTGACTGGGGATCACCAGCGGATCCAGTCGGGGGGCGCGCCCCTCCCCCCTCCCTGGAGGCTGAAAAAAAATTCCAAATAACAGCTATATAAAGAAATGAGAAATAGAGAGAAAATTCATTCCCATAGACGATGAATTTCGTAATATAATATAAAAACAATTATTATCGTTGCCAGCACTAGCGAATTCTGCCAGGGAGCATGTCCTCATTTGGAAAAAAAATTCGAATGAAGTGTCTAAAAACACCTATTAAACGAAAAGAGAAATGCAGAGAAAATTTATCTTATACAAGAATTCCCGAATGTAACATTAAAAAAAAAAATATCGTGACCAGCAGTAGTGGATTCTGCCAGAGGGCTCCCTTGGATGTTGGAAAAAAATATCGAAAAAAGGAAAAAAAACACTATTTAAAGAAAAGAGAAATGTAGCAAAAATTTATCCTCATACACGAATTTCCTGATGTAAAATAAAAATAAAAATTACTATCGTGACTATCACTAGCGAATTCTGATAGGGGCCAGCGCGTCCTTCCTTGAATGGTGAAAAACAAATCCAAATAACACCTATTTAAAGGAAAGAAAAATATAGGAACTCGTTGAATCCGAACTCGCAGGTGAAATACATGATGAAGGAAAATTTATTTAAAAAAAAAAACTTAATTTATTCTTTCGAACCACCTTTTATTCGAGCACAAGAAAATACGAGTTTTCATCTGGACCCAGTTTTTACTCAGTTTCAATAGATCTGGACGCATTCCAACCTTCAGCGACTATAATCTCCTTAAAGAATCCATGCGGATCATAAAACTGGTCACGATAATAATTTGTATATTTCTCATTACAATGTGTTGTTCTTTTATTAAAATAGCTGTTGTTAGGAAGGTTTTCATGAAGGGATGTATTAATTATTTGGTCTCCGATTTGATCGGAATTGGAAATTATTCTGATTTTTTTTTTCTTAGAGAACTCATTCAAGAGAACCAAGCTGCAGGACCATTTACAGTAATCTTTCTCAGATTTTGACAATATCGGTAAAAATTAGCGTTAATTAACCGTGGTTATCGACCATATCACATAATCAAATTATTAAGTTTAAGTACTCGTTCAACGCACAATTTGATGTTTTTTAATTTCTTAAAGAATACGTCTTTGGTGCACTGGTTAGTAGCACGGACGGATCTAGCTTTCAGGCTGAAACCAATAACCATGTTTTATCGGAAAAAATACTAAAAAATAATCTCTTAAAGTATAATTATTCGTGTAATTACATTTAAAAGGGCTTTAGGAATCACTTAAACACCAGTTCATATAGGTACTTAGTTTCTTTCGTATTTTCCAAAGTAATTATCGTTACTTTTATGAAAAAAAAAGCTTTCGGGCTGAAGCCCCCTCCCCAAAATTAAATCCTGGATCCGCTAGTGGTTACTAGTAATATATGAAAAAAAAATCAGATAAATCTGGAATTTTCAGCTGTAAAAAGTTTTCTCTTGGTGACCCGTATTAGCAATTAGTTTTTTACAAGTCTAAACCCATATAGAGGGTGTCTCGTATGTAGAGGGAAATATTTATAGGAGTGATAGCAAAACTCAATAAATACAAGAAAGTTTATTTGAAGAATGGTTCGATTTTAAGCAGGAAAGTAGGGAATTAACGTTTTGTGATTTCTATACGTGTCACGTTTTTTTTTGCATATGAAATGATAACAAAAAAAAACTATTTAATTTAAGTAATTAATGATAGCTTCACTGTAAACTAGTCAAAATTTACTCTAAATAAAAATAGAGTTTGCTTTTATTAAAACCATTTAAAGAGGACTTTTGAGCGGCTAAACTCGGCTAAGGAGTAGGGGAAATGACGTGGTACAGAGGTGCGCCCCCCACTGAAAAAATTCCAGGATCCGCCACTGCTGGGATTAAAACGTCGTTAACATTATATTTTGTCAGTATTTTACGTAATTTGAATCTTGATTGAAAAATATAAAATACATTTCCTTCTTAGTATTTGGTATAAAATTCTATATTTGTGTAGTTATATTTGATTCCATTAATTTAGAACACATTAAGTCGTTTACACATTAATTTTTTTAGATACTCTATTTTTTAGTTGCTTTTGTTAAAATAAAAGTAAAATCAGTCATCAGCTGTTCTTTTAAGTATGTAATATTAATGTAACTAAGTAATATTAAATAATACTAGTCTTCAGAAATTATTATTTATATTTTTTTCTTTATTCTCCTTTACATTTTACGACTTTCTATATTAGATATTGTTTTTTTGTTTTTTTAAACTCACCGCTTTCCAACGATATATACCTTCTGACTATTATTTTCGAGCTAAATAAGTATAAGAGAAGGCTCAAGCCCCGTGAGCCCCTAGTAGTCGGCGTCTATGACCAGATTTGTCAAAAACTGAGACAAATTACTATTAATGGCCCTGTAGGTTGGAAATCAGTTTTTTTTTTAAAGAAAAAAAGCTTAGAATAAAAGTTGTAGAGCATAAAATTCCACGTCCAGTGTGTACTTATAGTTTTAATGTCACTTCCTCCTCTGGAAATGGGGGTTATCCCCCAATGATTGAAAATTGATAATGAATGTCAATGTGATTTTAAATATTTCAACAGTAGAGGTTTCTATTCTACTGAATTATTCTTGTTTAGACTCCGCTATATACAGTACATATAAAAAGAGTCATAACTCTTTTTTCACCTCTCAGCAGCGCAGAGGTGCCATCAGCGTAATTTGCGGCATCAATATTTTTGAGGAGGGCACATTTTGACATGTTTTTTTTCAATTTTTGAGGTTTTAAATTTCGACAAAATTATGAATTTTCGAAGTGAAAAGTTTTTAACCAGAGAATAATGGGAAAACATGAACCAGATCACAGCAAGTCCAATTATATATGATCTACGATTTGTTTAATATTACTTTCAATTGAACTTTTGTTTAGAAGAGGAAAGAAATAAAATTTCTTGAGAGGGGAAGGAGTCCCTTCGCCACCGACCGGGGAAGAGAGGAGGGGCACCCCTGCAGCAGCGAAGGATTTTGAGAAACAAAGTGTCAAATTGTAATTAATTTAAATTTTCATGTTGTTTCATGTATTTATACATTTAATTAAAGCAAATTTAAAGGAAATGACATCATTTACACCATTTATAAACCTTTTACAGATCAATGATTACAGATCAATGATTTCACCGATGTACTTAATTTTAGTAAATATGGAATCTAATGTTCAAAAGAACATGAATAAACATTACAATACTAATGTTATTCATGATTTATCGGTAAGGAAAATCCATGCATGACGAATATATTTTTCGTAACTACAGCTTTACAAATTAGCATTTCAAAGACACCTTTATGAGTTGAAAAGATGCCTTGAAGCATTTCAATGAAGCCATGAATAACCATTCAGGAAACAATGTGAATATATAATTCTAACGCTTTATCTAAATAAGTCGTTGATCATTAATCCCTATTTTAATTTGGCATAATCAAGAACTATTTATGTCATTTAATTAATAAATTCACACGTTCCGGAAAATGTTGAAACTCGTCAATGGGTCGAGAAGTTTGAATGAACGAACTTGTTACTAGTTAATATAGGAATGTTTAATATGCAACAACCAAATAAAGATCATAACAAAAATGTTCAATTACGTCTAATTCCTGATTTTTTGTTTAACTGTACATATTCTTTACAGATATATCAAAACAACAGTTGCATTATTTTTTTTTTATGTTTAAATACTATTATTATTAAGTTTGATATTATTCCTAATCTACAAGTTCCTAAACTCAGCGCCTATCTTAGAGACAGATCCGGGGTCATCGATAAGTTCAGATCTGAGTTTAGAAACTTGCTCAATGCAGCCATGAATGAGTAGTTTTAGCACACATACAATTTATACCAGAATGCAAATTAAAACTTCTCAAATATGACAATTCTAAATTTTTTTTTTATATTTAACTTACTCCAATAAGGATTAATTATGTGGCAAACCAACAATATTAATTCCTCAGAATTAAATAGTTTCCTATAGAGAAGTTCAACGTCTATGAACTTCTGTACTTAGAAAACTTTTTAATTTAAGTTTGTACTTAAGTCATAAGAGTCTTATTAGCTGCTACAAACATATTCATTTATTGGTGTCGAGAAAGTAATTAATTTTTGTATTATCTTATTGTTATCAAAGGTCTTTAATCTCGACACTAATGACGTGAAAGGGCAATGCTCAAGGGAATTATTAGTCATAACTCAAGTAAATAAATAAGTCTTTTTGAAAACTTTTCCATTTTTTGAAACGATTGATATTTAATGCAAATAAGCCGATATCGCAGATATCATATTTACAATATTTATAAATAAAGATAATCGAAATTGTGATAAGAGAAAGTGTGCTGATCATAATAAGATGGAAGCATATCAGATGAAAGAGTTAGTTCCGCCAAAAAGCAGCCTGCCTTGTTTTACCTTCCTTACTGCTGCCCCCCACCCTCACTGGGCATAGTTCGTCAAATTTATTTCTTATCGTCGCCTGTCATTTTATCGTCCGTATTGTTTAGTTGTTCGTCTTATATTTTGTATTAACCATTCTTAGTTTTAGTAATTTTTTACTTCTATGCTCAAAGGTCATGCCTCAGTAGTTACACACAACATATAACAGTATGCTCAAAACAAAGTGTTTTCAATACTTCAGTGAAATGTATTTTGGAATGAGCAACACTCTTTTTGTAAGTAGTCCTTTCTAAGTTATTCATAACAGTTCCGTTAATTACCCCATGAGTCATAACACTTTGCACTTGATCTCATAACCTACCATTGTGTATTCATTCTTGAACTGATGTAAATATGGATCAGTACTGTGACTTTTTTTTATAATCTATTATTGCTATTTCTCTATTCTACATAAAGTGTATGTCTTAAAGAAGTAGCAATCTGCTGGACCCTGATGGATTCTTCTCAGTGATTGATCATGGATGGTGCTCATTGTACACCTAGCCCAGATGAAGAAAATTGTCAGTCAACAGCCTTTACAGTTACCTTTGAATCTGCTAAAGCGGCAAATAACAGATTTATCAAGCGTCACATCAGAAATCTTTCTCTGCCAGTTGTCAAAGTATATGATAACAAAGTAAGTCATATTTTGGTTAATTAAAGCTTTTTTTTTTATCATTTTTCCATTTTCCCACTTTTATTTATTGAGTTATTACATATCATAAAAATGTTAATCAATTTTTATTTCTTATAATTGTGTAACATTCATTGACCTGTGCTATACTTCAGTTGGCTTGCTAATATTATTAGATTAGTTACAGTTGCCAAATAAACCTTGTGCTAGGTCTATTTTAAGTCACTATTGTAAGCATGTTTCATGTATATGAAATTATTTTGCTTAAATCCTTCAGAATTTTTTAATTATCAGCATGGTATAGTAGAATTACTAATGTAGTAGCAATTCGAGATTTATAAAAAAATTAAATATGCTGTTATCATTATGGTGTTATTTGTTGTTAAACAGTTAGGTAACTTCTTATGTTTTTACAATTTTATTATGTGTAGGTAGTAACACCTCCAGTTTTTAACGGAAATGAAACTGCCAAGAAACCAGGAAATCACTCAGAAGGTTATTTTTCCAGTGATGCTGAAGATGATCATGGTGTCTCTAAGATGTCATTCTTAAAACATGAAAATTCACCCACGAAAGGTAGTTCGCAAAACAAATCTCATTTGACATTAAATTAAATTTGGGGAGCTATTGAATGAGCTCAGCAATAAAGTATTATTGTCTCAAATTTATTTTCATTTATTTATTATGCATTGTTCAATGCATAATGACAATTTGTTTAAATGTACAAGATTTATTTTGGTTTATTGTTAATGAATTAGTTGCGCTACATGGTTTCAATCATCCAAGTTTTACCTGTATAATTCAATCGACGTATTTTAATTTTTTCTTCATTCGAAATAAAAAAATAATATAATTTTTTTTTATTAGGTTAGTGCATTACCTTGAATACATTAATTATAATGTATTTACCTTGTATCAGTGGATCCATGAATTTGTCCAGATTTTAAAAATATATGTGTATTTTTAACACATAAGTTCAAGGACAAGCTTATCTGTTCTATTTCATAATCTGATTCCAAAATCTAGATAATTTAGCCATTAATTTGGCTGATATGGCTTTAATTGTATCTATTTCTTTAATTACTTCTAATTTTAAGTATATTTGTAAATGTCCATTTTTACTCATAATTTGTTTATCTATTTAATTCAATTATAATTAATATAACTACTAATAAAGTTGGATGTGATGTAATCCTGAAAATAGAACTATATTTAAAATTATATGTAAGTAAATTTGAGTGAATTTTATATTTTCTTTTCAATATTATATTGGCATGGGGAAACTCTTGTCATTTAAACTTGACAAAGTAAAATTAAATTGTCTTGTTTTCATTTATATCTACTTAGAAAATAATTAAAAAATGAATAAATTAATTGAACAAAATAATAAATAAATTGCATATTATATATATATATACATATATATATATATATATATATATATATATATATATATATATATATATACACATACATACATACATATATATTTATATAAAAGTATGTATATACAATAAAAGGGTTGGTTTTATGGAGGTCATAAGTAACATTGAGTAAAGAAAAAACTAAATTCAGATTACCTTTATTCACTATAAGTCAGACATATATATCTTTACCTACTCCAACCAGAGCCAAATATCAAATTTAAATAAATAAAAGGAGAAAATATTGCAAAGATATCACATTACATCTAAATCTTTTGCAATAATTCAATTTATCTGATAAATCTCTTTACTTTTAAACACTTGTTCCTTCTATAACATCAATTTACATTTAAATACATTATAAGCATTCTACATCTCAATACTGTCTAGAAAATAAGTTCTTAAGCATTCTATATTCTGTACAATATTCCTGTTAGTATGTATACTTTATTTTCTCTTAAAATTACTTTTTAAATTTACAATTGATTTTTATTTCTCTAGAAATTTATTTTCACTTTTCTTTTTTTTAGCCTTCTATCATTTAAATCTGCAGCTTTCATTAATTCCACTGCAGTGAAATTTCAAAAAAATAGAAAAAATAATTTTATTTTTCTACTTACATTTTTCAGTTAAGAAGGTTGAAATATTTAGCAGGTGTAAAATTAGTTAAACAAATCTGTTGGGTTTTGTCTGATTTTCTTGATATTTTAATTTATAAAATAAATATATTTCATGTTAGTTTAATGATTTAACATTTTTTATTTCTGAAAAATTAAAATAAAAAAATAAAATAGAACTACTGCATTGTAATTTCAAAGTGCTCAATATAATATAAAAGCCATTAAAAAAGAAATGGGTAATAATTGTGTCTTATCAAGTTCTATTCAAAAATAGGAATAATTGTATTATATTCATTTGAACCAGAGATGTACTTTTACTTTGTCTTAGGTATAGAAATACTCTTTGCTTCCTATTGAATAAATATATATATATAAATGCATTTATTTGTATATTTGCATATTTATTTGTATCAAATATATGTGATTAACAATGTGGCAATTTGCTTGGATTTAATTTTAGAAGAAGAATCAAGCAACGAAGAGGAAGAAGAGAAATCAGAAGGAGCACCTAGTGAAGCTGGTACTTATACCATTGATAAAGAATCCCCAGAAGTCGTGACAGCAAGACTCAGCATTGATGCAAAATTTGGTGTAAAACAAAAGGTTCGTGTTCTCTTAGTGAAGTAATAGATTAACTGAAATGATTTATTATTTGAAAAATATGTTATATTACAATTTATCAAGGTAAGGTAAAAATATTATAAGAAATTATCAGTCAATTTTATCTTATCTTTAAGTATTTCATTTCTTGTAATACATACAAAATTAAATGTAAAAAATTCTTATCCAAGAACCATAGTGAGAAAAATACAGTGTTAATAATGTTGAGTTTTTTTGTTTTTCTATTTTGTTGGTGAAGAACTTTTTATTTTACTGCATTCTCATGATCTAGAATAAATATATTTGTTTATCATTTTGAAAGATTCATAAATTAATTTCAGCTCTCCTTCCTTCTCTATATCATTTCAAATTTGTAATGTGATCTGTAAACTATATTGAATATATTTTAAGATCTTCTCTTAAGTGCCCTATTGAGATAGTATTCCTGGAATTTTAGTTATTTATTAAGTGATACTTAATGTTTTTTAAAAACATCCAAGAAAGTGTAAAGATTTGATTAATTTTCTTGTTAAAGGAATAGTTTAATTTCAGACCTCCACTCCTGTTTTGTTTCTGATAGCCCTTTATGGATAATTCTGAGATTAAGGGTAATTGTTGATGTTAGATTAGGGTAAATATTTAATTTTACTGCATTTTAGCATATACAGTTTTAATACACACACCTTCTATTAACGCTTAGTTAACAATCTTAACAAGGGGCCAAGATCAAATTTTTTTTTTTGTGGGAAAGTTAAAATGTTAAAATGGAATGTAGGAGTGGTATGGTTTATTTTTTTTATATGATGATATATATAAATATATATATATTTATTTTTTTAAAGTGATTTTTAATCGTGTAAAATAACAGTTCAAACATCTGAAAATAATTCGAGCACATTAATGAAATTGTGTTTTCAACTCTATGACATCCAAAAACACTGTATATAACATTATAAAAATATTGTTTCTTTACACTGTCCCACTACATATGATTATTAAACTTAAGTTATAGTGAAAGAAAGAAATTTTAAAGGAAGCCTGATAATGGTATCAATGACACAACACTCATTATAATGTAAATCTGTGGATGTAGCCTTCCCAATTGAATTATGTTCTCCTCTGGCAGTTGGTACTTCAGCTCCATACCGATATAACCCTCAGAAATAATTTCTCCACTGTTCTCTTTTTTTTTTTCAAGACTTTGTCTCTGATGTTTTATCGTTTGCTTGGTAGTGGCAACACGATGGTGGGCCATGGTTTGTAAGGCACATATGCATTCTTCATTAATTATAAGAAAATAAATTAATTTATAAAAAAGATTCAGAATGCTCCAGTTGTCCTTTTTGAGTTGAAATAAATTCCACTGCCATTTAATAGCATTTGAATAGTTTATACTCAAGCTTTTATTTATATTAGTATAATAATTGGTGTGTATTAACTTATGTATTATATCAAATAGGAAAATCAAGACAGTAAGGAATGGGTAAGTGATTGGGCTTTGAAGTCATCTAATCTGCCTGGTCCTTCAGCTACAAATCTTTTTTCATCAAAGACAAAAGCTAATTGTAAGTTGTTTTATTTTGTTATTATTTTTTTTTTACTCATTGTTGGCTTGTATAAGGCAACCATTTCTCATTTATTGAATTCCGTAGTAGTTATTTGCTCCTTATTTACCATGTCGAGAATGTAAAGCAATAATTTACAGTAGGAACTCTTTCTTCACCTTAATGATCAGTGTTATTGAACCATTCTGTTTATTTATTGTTTATTATCTTACTTTGGTTTAATCTTTTATCCACTGCTCTCTTTTGATTATGTTTATCTAATTATTATTGTTTTATCTCATTGTTCTATCGTCATACAATTATAATCAACAGTAAGTGAGATGAATTCTTTGATAGTTTCAATTCACTTAATTATTTACAGTTTCAACTGAAACAAACTGAAGTTTATTAAAAATAGACTAATCAAATTTATCAATGTATTTGTAAACCTAATTATTTAGCATAATAATATACAAATTTATCAAATGTTACAATGTTTTAAAATTAATAAACAATTAAATTTAATAAATATTGTTCAAGGTTTTCTTCTATATTTAATCTGTTTTTATTTGATTGGAAATGTTAATTATTTCATTTATATGATGATTTTCTCCATTCTTCCACAGTTTATATCTCTGAGGAATTTCATGCATTATTTTTGTGTTGAAGCAGTTATTCAATAGCTTATGGCATATGATCAAACCGCAATGTAAAATTAGAATCACATAATTAGTTTTACGCAACCTTCAATAAAATAATTAATACAACAAATAGGCTATTATTGTATGCCTTAGTACAAATACAAAATAAAATTAATGTTAATAACTTTTGAAATATCAATCAGGCTATTCAGTGTAATAAATCACAATGAACTCTTCTACCAATTCATTTCTATTATTTTTTGATAAAACATTATTTAATATTTGAACTGATGAACAAATAAACCCAACATTTGCTTGGGCTGATAAGCAAATGTTGTTGTTGCTAAATTGTCTTATAAAAGTCAAGATAAATAAGTATTATGTTATCTATATTTCAATATTTGTTTAATAATTTCTATCTCATGTTATCAGTTTTGGCACTTCTCAATTCTTTGCTGTTTACTACCGTTCAAAAATTATAAGTTAATATGGTTTTAGATGCTTAAGATTAAATAAAACAATGTCACTACTATAATTATTTTTATTTTTATTATTAGTTGCGTTAAACATATTCAGATTTGAATGTCTGTTCACTTTTGGCATGTGGGTGTTTACTTTTATCTCTTGTTAAATCCATTAGATTAAACTTCTCCTTTCCATTCTGGCTGGAAAATGTTATGATTTCAATTTAACATAGTTGTGATGTGAGGTAATTCATTCACTGATTTATTAGTCTGTAATTAGAATTTTTTTTTAGTGGTGAGTAAAATCCCTTCACCGATTACACCACGTGCTAGACTTGGTTCGAGAAGTAAGAAAATTGTGCCTGCAAAACCTATTGAAAGATCCAGGCCTAATTCTCCAAACGTTGTGATGTCGAAGGAAGACCCATTGACAGAGAATGATACTGAAAGGTACCTGAAAACAACTGAAAGAGCAATGACAGTGCTCGCTGCCCGGATGAGTCTTTCTCTCGACTCTGGAGGAGAATCCGACAATGGAGAAACACCTAGAAGAGGGAGACCTTTACAGCGCTCTGATTCTAGTGCAAGTGAGTCTCACCATTCAAGACAAGCTGGGACATCTTCGACCCGTTACAATAGGGCTTTCAGGTACTTAAGCTGTAATAGTTTTTGTTCCCAACAATTTAGATATATTTAATAAACTTAATATATAGAAAATCTAATACTTCTGTGCATATAATTTAGGAGATGATGGTATGGCAGCAGAGGGATCAAAATAAAACATATCATAATGTTGTATTATTTATTGTTAGCTAACAGTTTGATCCACATTAAAGGTATTTATCAGGGCTACTAATATATATGAATTATATGGAAAAATAAATGAATGTACATATGAAGTACAACATATTATATAAAATCTTAAGAATATGGTGTAAAATTAAATAAATGGTTAGTATAAATAATATACCTGCAAATATAAATACAAGAAAATGATAAGGAAAAAAATTATTTGTTTTAAGTATATCTTCTTGCATCATTTTCTTGCCCATACTTCTTGGTTAATTGATCTCTGAAAAGAAATATATCTATCTAGATTTTTTATATTGTTTGTAGCCATGACCTAGACATATATTGTGTGTTAAAAGAATAATTGATGTATAACTACAATGTTTTATTTTGAATCCTCTCAACCAAGCTATCAACTTGACTAATTATCCATAATCAAATATCTTCTGCATTTTCTGTATAAATATTTAAATTTGTCACTAAATACTTTAAAACGTTTCATTACACTTTTTTTTAACTTATTGCAATAAAATTTTAAACATTCTATTGTTCAGCCAAATGATTTTCAGATAGTTCATATCTTTATCATTTTTGCTGTAATCTAAAAAAAAAAACGCTTTAGATTAATCTAATAAAATTACTCTGAAATAATCTGTATTTTAAAAAATGTTCTAATTGTATATATAGTCAATAAAGATTCATAAAACTAAAATTTAGTTTACGAAGGGGTCGGCTAGATGATGGCACTACCAAGAAGATAGAATCAGTACCAGTTAAACCAATTAGTCCAAGGGTTGTGCAACCCCCTAGAGTTAAACCATCTGTCACATCTCCAGCTCAAAACAATCTTTCAAGGAATGACATCACACGAGCTAGTATGAGGTCTGTCGTTAGCCAAAGGGTATGTTTGAATTTGATATTTTTTCTGGCTATGTATTAGTATGATTTATTAATGATAATGGATCCTAAATATTTATATATATTATTTTGAAGTCCCCGCAGTTGTCCACCCCAAAACCAGATTTTGGTCGGAAAAAGATTGGAGTACCAGGAGCAACTGGTGGTAGGAGTAATTCATCATTGTCCTCCAAAGAAGTTGAATTTCAAAACTGGAAGAGGAGAAAGAGCTATGACCCTATGAAGGCAGCTGCAGAAGGGAAACGCAAAGAAGCTGCAGCTAAGAAGACATCTCCAAATGTTATGAGCCAGTCATCGACTAATGCTACCACTACACCTAAGAGGTAAAAAGAAAACCAATCATTATTTCAGCCCCTCAATTTTATAATGTTATTTTATTATTGCTAAATTTCTTAATTAAACAGTAGCTATTTTTATTTTAAATCATCAATGTTAATTTGAAACTGTCTACCTGATATATCCCAACAGCAGAGTAAAAAAAAAATAAAGAATTAAATTTTCATTATGTTGAGTTTTGTTAATCAGTTTGTACAATCCAGTGATATAGTATCCAGTAAAAAATATTAACAATTAATGATTGAAAAAATTATTCCATAGATGAAATTCCATAGATAATATAAACCCCAGAATCATGCCTATAGAGCGAAAAATTGAATATTGGTCACAGAGGAATCTACAGCCATGGTAATGTCAATGCCACTTCCTAAATCTGTTTGATAGAGCCTGATTTAGAATTTTCTAAAAGAGAAATAATAATTATTGAGTTCAAGGGACTTGGTAAAATTGCAATATAAGGTTTTCGCAAAACCCTGGAGTTGCAATGAGGAACAAAAGATCACTTATAATATATATGCCTTTCTAGTTGGCTGAATAGAGTGGCCCAATGTCTGAACGACCTTAGTCGAGTAGGGGGCACTTTCTGTAGCCTCAGATACCCAGCAACAATGACCATTTATAGAGGTATGATTGTAGGTATACTGAAGTATGCGTCCCCTGCGTGAAATCTGACTCTCTCGCACCGACAGAAGAGCAAGTTGGTGACAATCCAGCAAACGGCTCTGCCGCGAGTCACCAGAGCGTACAGGACTGTTTCTCAAGAGATGGTGCAGTTACTAGCGGGAGGAGTGCCTCTCGAACTCTTGCGAGAAGATATGTTGAGGTACATATATAAGAAAAAAGGTTCAGCAGGTCTATCGGAAAACCTCAAAGAGAGAATCGACAAAAACTCCAGAAAATGGAAATCTATTATCCAGTGGGATACAATTAATATGTGGAATCAACGTGGATGACATGCCCGAAAGGGGCCACTCTGAGGAAGTACTTTCCCATCGTTCAATCACGTTTGGAAGCCAAAAGGATCCTCCCGGATTACTGCCTCTCGCAATTCCTTCCTTACTGGGCATGAAGGCTTTCGAGACAAGCTCCATGGATTTGGAAAAGATGTCGATCCTCTATGCCCTTGGTGTGGGAGCTTGGAGACTGCTGAGCACATTATCATGAACTACATCTCCTTTGAATCGCTAAGGGCCAAATTAGTGAGGGAGACCGGTCTCTATGTTCTCACAGAGGCTGATTTCCCTCAGCTAGTTACAGAAGAAAACTACCCGTACTAAAAAGAATTTGTTTACGGATGGAAAGAAGGAATTGGATCCATACACTTCAACCTCACAAGAAGAGGACCTGTACCAGTGAGGCCGCCAGAACAAGGAGGAGCGGAATAAGACCATAAACAGCAAATTTAAATGTGAACATTGGTCTCATTGCAGAAGCAGGCAGTTATGCAGTGAGGTGTAAGAACCCAGTTCTGCAAAAAACCCATATTGCCTCAATGGCAAGGTAGGGTTCAAATAAATAAAATAAAATAGTTTGTTATGATGAATTTTTTTTTCACTAGGGGTCAAAAAGAAATTTTCAATTTGTTCTAATGCAATTAGTTCATTACAATCAAGGTGTTATGGGAAAATCAATGCTTTTTGACTCATTTTAATGAGATTGTAGTAAAAAAGGTTTTACTCTAAATGTTGTGTAAGTAACATCATGTAAGTTAAAGAAAATGTTAGTTTCAACTTAGATGGGGAGGTTATAGATGTAGTGGGGTCATTTCAATGAAACTTTTTTAAGTGATACTAAGTCGAAAATTAGTAGACCCATGCCCGAAGATTCTTGCCGATTCGCCCTAGCAGCCGAGAAAAAAATTGTTTTATAACATTTTATTGTTTTTTTTATGTTACTGTTTTCTGGGTTTGCTCTGAATGAATTATAAGTTATTATATATCAATCAATTTGTTTTTTTGTTGAAAATAAGAAAAACATATTGCTTTTTGTATTAAACAAATTCTTATACATAATAAATTACAAAAACCCATATATGCTTACAAAAACCCCTGTAAAGCAAGCCAAGTAAATTTTGGTCATGAAAAAACTATCCAGATTCAATTTTAGGGCCCACTAAAACTCTTAAATACGAAGTTGTTTTGAAATAAAAAATATAAATGTTTGGAGTTCATTTTATGTGAGAATTTTTTTTCATGCTGTTTACTAAAATATTTATACCTCATCAGGTTTTTCTCCAAGTCGACATTACTACAATCTTTGAAGGCTAGTTCTTCATAACTATAGCGATAACTTTGATGTTTAACGTTTTTTTAAGGAATAAATAAATAAAAATTTCCCAAACGTTTTTATTTTTTATCTCCAAGCCTAAGTTATTTGCGGGGTACTAGTTTGTGTATATTATAGGCTCCCCAAATTCATGCTAGTTTTCGTGTGGATAAGTGGAGCCATATCGAAGTTATCACAACTTTTGTGATTTTCAAAAATAAATTAAGTCTCCAGCCTAGGCGGAAATTTCGAGCAAAATTTTTATTTTTCAACTAATATGAAAATTCTTATTTAAAGATAAGTAAAAAATATTAGAACCTACTTTACTCCTTAGGTCAGTACTATTTGTTTATATCTTGAACACACACTGTATGTATGTTAAATATATATATTTTTTCTTAACTGGATGGGTATCAAAAGTAAGATTATATGCACAAAATCTAGTATTTTGTCGAGATTCAACCCGAAAATAAGAAAAAAGCATTATTGTACATATACACATATTACACCATGAAATGTATTTTTTTTTTAGGATAAAAAAATATAATTTTCATTTTTCTTTCTTAAATAGGCATTTTCGTTGCAATTGAAAAATAAAAAATATTTAGCATACAGCTATAGTATGTGTTCAATATTGAAACAAATACTGCTGAATAAGGAGTAAAGTAGGTTCAAATATTTTTTTAAGGAGAAACAAAGTTGATAATAGTATCTTTAAATAAGAATTTTCATATTAGTCGAAAAATAAAAATTTTGTTCGAAATTTCCTCCTATGCTGGAGACTTAATTTTTTTTTGAAAATAACAAAAGTTGTGATAACTTCGATATGGCTCCACTTATCCACACGAAAATTAGCATGAATTTGGGGAGCCTATAATATACACAAAATAGCACAAACTAGTATCCCGCAAATAAATTAGGCTTGGAAATAAAAAATAAAAATGTTTGACAAGTTTTTATTTATTAATTCCTTAGAAAAAAGTGAAATTTCAAAGTTATCGATACAGTTTTGAAGAGCAATAATTTAGGTTCCCAAAGGTTGTAGAACGTCAACTTATATATTTTTATTAATTATATATTAATATTATTTATTATTAATTTATATATTTTTTTATTTCAAAACAAACTCGTATTTAAAAGATTTAGTGGGTCCTGAAAACGAATCTGAATATATTTTTCATGACCACAATCTACTTGGCCGATTTTATTGGAAGCATCTATAGGTTTTTGTAATTTATTATGTATAAGCATTCATTTAATACAACAAGAAATATGTTTTTTTTATTTTACACAAAAAAACAAATCGATTGATATATAATAAATTTTAAATTCATGTAGAGCAAAATCAGAAAACAGTAAGATAAAAAAATATATTTGCATCATTGGCAAGAACCCTAGGACATCAGTCTAATTTTGTTTGGCCTAGTATCATTATAAAAGTTTCATTGAAATCGGTGACATTAAGTCCGTATCCTCCCCTTGTTAGTGCCACATGATTTCGCCCTTGGGCTGCCAACTAATGGTTAAGTTAGAAATTGTTATTATCTTTGAATTAACATTATAATTAAGGACTTTAGTTTTATTTATATATTCCATAAGACCACTCACTTTACCATTGCTTGCTCTTTATTTTATTTTATAGAAAATAAAAGAAAAAATTAATCTTATGTTTCCATTTCAATTATTCTAACCTTTGTTAGTCCTGTGAACTCCGTCCTGAGGTCAGCATCGTTCCACACCACAAGGCAGCTTGGTGGGCCTCCCCAATCATCGTCGGAAGAGGAAGAAGAAGAAGAAGAGGAAGAAGAGACAACACTCTCAGCTGAAGACTGGCCTCCAAAGTTACCTAACGTCTGTAAACTATTGTTATTTAATTTATTAATAATTTGAAATAATATTTTCTGAGTATAATTGTTTAGCTCCTGTTCATTGTAGAGTTATCAACTCAATGATTTATTTATAGTGTAGTAAATCATGTATTTATTTATGTTATATAATGTGATTATTTTGGTAATATAGGCATTAGAACAGGAGAATAATGTGCCTGGTGGAAGCAGAGGTTCTCTCTATTCCAACAATTCCAGTGGTGGTTCTCCTCGTCATCGGCCACGGCTGGAGGGAGTGGATAACTTCATTGTCTCGGCTATCGCTACCATATCCAGTCGAGTCAATATTAATACAGCTCTAATTTTAAAGAAATTGAGGTAGCTAT